TGTTTCATGATCAACTTTGTCGAACGCCTTACTGAAGTCTGTGTATACTGCATGAACTTTTGTGCCAGCATTCATGGACTCAAGTATGTATTGTAGTTAATATAGATAAACAAATTAGTTGTTGTGGGTTGTCCGCCAACAAATCCATGCTGACGCGTGATGATAATATCCTTGAAGGACGCTGCCAGTTGGGATAGGACCACTTTTTCAAAGAGCTTCGCTAGTGATGATTGAGTGCAGATTGGATATTAGTTTTTGACATCAGATCTATGTCCAGACGTATGACTTTTTCCAACACGTTGGGAATGTCCCTTGTGATAGCGATTTACTAAAAATATGAGGTATTGGCTCACAGAGTCCTACCGCACAACCGCGTAGAAATATATTTGGTAGTCCATCGGCGCCTGCAAATTGTTTTATTAGACGTGCCGTCTTCTACCAGTGAATCTAATTTAGAGCGAAGATTCTTGAGATGAGAAAGCTGTGATGGAGTTAAGTAGGATTTGAAGGCTATGCGTGAGTTATCTGGTACCTTTGTTTTCAATATGGTCCTAGCTTCACCCACTGATGTCGTTTCGATCAACAGTGGACGGTTGCGACCAGCATTTGGACGCCCTAGACGACGCATTTTGTAGTTCGGGATCTTGGCTGAGAGATCTGGAGGTAATATCGTTGACAGTGCAGCACGATCATCCTCCAAACGCTCCTGTCCAGTAGCCTTGTTGGACTCAGTGATCCCCAACAAAATGACATTTGCTTCGCGCCTTTACGCTCATTTATCTCAGCTATGACGTCTTCGGTCATAAGAGGCTCTGATGTTGTATTTTTTAAGCATTTCTCGACTTGAGTAATTTTCTTGTCCAATGACGAACAGTGATTGGTTAGCAAGTTGTTTTGCTTTGAAATTTTGGCTACGTATACACTTCCATTTCAGTACTCCACTTCTTATTTCATTGACTAGCTTTAAAAATTCACCTTTTGTAATATTCAGACATTTAGCGTGATTTTATTTTTCACAAATACTACATTGGATACTACAATAGATGTATTTCCTTTAATGTGCTCATTACACGTGAGAGAGTTAAGTTTGATTATACCTGTGTTGTTGCGAGGAGGCATGATGCTTACTTAATATTTCTTGCAATAAACGAGAGCTCGGGTGATGGATATACTTATTTTGAGCAATAAAATTTTCTTTTACGCTTAACACAATTTTGCTCATAGCTGATTAAATAAACATAATTAATTTAATTAACGAACAGAGTTGTTCGTTATAGGTACGTTTAGTCACCCCGCCTCAGACGGACGGTTTAGTACTGTGCAAATTGTTATAGTAACTATGGACAATACTCTGGCAGATATAAACTAGTCATGTCAAGGGTATACATTTTCAGTTAAATCTTTGATTGTTATAAAGGCGTGCACTTACCTAGCAACAAGAAGTGTTTCAGATATAATCTTCCGCAAACGTTCCATGGATTTATTATAGCAGAGTACCTTGGTAATCATATGTGCACGACTTTAAGCCATACAATTTTTAATACAAAGCGTTATCAAAGTTTTGTCTTTTGTTTAATTATTAATTTCCATAGTAAATATATCCTTTATAAAATTTTTACATATACATACATATGTGCATGTTAAAGAAATATTTAATTTTTCAAATAATTTGATGAATCTGTCATGTCAATAATTAATATGTTTTCGTTTATTAGTTTTGACTTGGTTGAGTCGAGACGGCATCATTCAACCAAAGATTTTAGATTTTGCATGCCGATTGAAGCCCATTATCGCTGTATTGCCATTTTAATAATTTTGCGGTATTAAACTGGCGTCCATGTTTAAAAATCAATCGATTATTCCACAGATCTTTGATAACGTTTAAATCCGGCCTTTTACTAGACAACCCAAAAGCGGAATTTTCTGGACTCAAAAACCTTTTAGTAAGAGATTACTTGTGGAAAGTCCGATTGTCCTCGTAAGTTGAATTGCAAATTCTGCCAAATTCACTATCGAGCAAGTTCCGAATATGGTGTCCATATAGAGTTTTCCTTCATAATAAAGGCATCCTACATCATTTTAGAACCTTCGGTACTCCACGGAGACATGTGCGCCGAGGATTTTGTGTTTGGTGCCAATAATTCATATGACCATCAGATCACAAATGAACTTTTACGTCACTGAATATCAAGCTTGCCAATCTTTCTCCCAAAATTGGTACTTATCTGCAAACGCTAAAGAACGCTTATAAGTCTAGGCATGAATGTGGGGTTATGATACATAGAAAGGGGTTTTGCTATGATTTTGATGTATAATTTGACATATTCTCATTCTTAGTACCATACCTTAAAGGGTTTTGAAATTACTAATTGTTCTAGGAGATTTAGTACTGTGCAACTTTCTTTTACCTCCATACCATTTTCATGCAATTCTTGTCCCTGCTCAATCTCTAAAAGACTTGTTCCACTCTTGTCTGACGAATTCAAACTATTAATCACATTTGTATTTTATTTTATTTATTTACTTTAAGGTGTATATTATAAATACTCAATTCTAGACGCGTCTCTAAAAAGAAGAATCAACTTATATTCTTTGCACTTATAATTATTTTCTAAATTCGAAGAAATAGTGACAAACTGCAACGAATTAAACAAGAAGATCGAATAACAGTAAATAATAACCATATTTATAATATGAATATACTATTAAAACAAATGAACAGTCAAAGAAAAAGTTATAACACAACATACATCACATATAATTTCTTTACTAGGAAGTTGCGAAGTCATCTTCCATAGGCTCTATATTCTGATATTTTCCCAATTGGATTATATAATTGACGCTATCCTAGTACAAAGAGAGCATATTTTTATCAATTATGGTTAATTTTGGAATACTCTGCATACTCCACGCCGTGTACATTTTATTTGCTTGTACAATTTTCTTTACTTCCTCCATTGCTGCTGTTGATGTTTGCCCTGTAGAAAATTACAGTGACTTGCAGAACTTATACTAAATTTTTCAAGTCTATTGACTTGAATATCAATAAATGGTGACCATATTACCGTCCCATATTCTAAAATGGGGAGTATTAATGTAGTAAGAGTTCTCAAGGTGACGCATTACTGAAGTCTTTGCTCTCTAGTGATGAGTGCAAGCACTTTGTATGCTTATGGGCGAAGACATTTAGCGTGATTTTATTTTTCACAAATACTACATTGGATACTACAATAGATGTATTTCCTTTAATGTGCTCATTACACGTGAGAGAGTTAAGTTTGATTATACCTGTGTTGTTGCGAGGAGGCATGATGCTTACTTAATATTTCTTGCAATAAACGAGAGCTCGGGTGATGGATATACTTATTTTGAGCAATAAAATTTTCTTTTTACGCTTAACACAATTTTGCTCATAGCTGATTAAATAAACAATAATTAATTTAATTAACTTAGACAGAGTTGTTCGTTATAGGTACGTTTAGTCACCCCGCCTTCTAGCGGACGGTTTAGTACTGTGCAAATATTGTTATAGTAACTATGGACAATACTCTGGCAGATATAAACTAGTCATGTCAAGGGTATACATTTTTCAGTTAAATCTTTGATTGTTATAAAGGCGTGCACTTACCTAGCAACAAGAAGTAGTTTCGAATATAATCTTCCGCAAACGTTCCATGGATTTATTATAGCAGAGTACCTTGGTAAATCATATGTGCACGACTTTAAGCCATACAATTTTTAATACAAAGGGCGTTATCAAAGTTTTGTCTTTTGTTTAATTATTAATTTCCATAGTAAATATATCCTTTATAAAAATTTTTTACATATACATACATATGTGCATGTTAAAGAAATATTTAATTTTTTTCAAATAATTTGATGAATCAATGTCATGTCAATAATTAATATGTTTTCGTTTATTAGTTTTGACTTGGTTGAGTCGAGACGGCATCGATTCAACCAAAGATTTTAGATTTTGCATGCCGATTGAAGCCCATTATCGCTGTATTGCCATTTTTAATAATTTTGCGGTATTAAACTGGCGTCCATGTTTAAAAAATCAATCGATAATATTTCCCACAGATCTTTGATAACGTTTAAATCCGGCCTTTTTACTGAACAACCCAAAAGCGGAATTTTTCTGGACTCAAAAAAACCTTTTAGTAAGAGTTACATTGTGGAAAGTCCGATTGTCCTCGTAAAGTTGAATTGCAAATTCTGCCAATTCACTATCGAGCAAGTTCCGAATATGGGTGTCCATATTAGAGTTTTTCCTTCATAATAAAAGGCATCCTACATCATTTTAGAACCTTCGCCGAGTACTCCACGGAGACATGTGCGCCGAGGATTTTGTGTTTGGTGCCAATAATTCATATGACCATCAGATCCACCGAAATTGAACTTTTTACGTCACTGAATATCAAGCTTGCCAATCTTTCTCCCAAAATTGGTACTTATCTGCAAACGCTAAAGAAGCGCTTATAAGTCTAGGCATAAGATGTGGGGTTATGATACCATAGAAAGGGGTTTTTGCTATGATTTTGATGTATAATTTGACATATTCTCATTCTTAGTACCATACCTTAAAGGGTTTTTGAGGAAATTACTAATTGTTCTAGGAGAGTTTAGTACTGTGCAACTTTCTTTTACCTCCATACCATTTTCATGCAATTCTTGTCCCTGCTCAATCTCTAAAAGACTTGTTCCACTCGGCTTGTCTGACTACAGATTCAAACTATTAATCACATTTGTATTTTATTTTAAATTATTTATTTACTTTAAGGTGTATATTATAAATACTCAATTCTAGACGCGTCTCTAAAAAAGAAGAATCAACTTATATTCTCTTGCACTTATAATTATTTTTAACTAAATTCGAAGAAATAGTGACAAACGCTGCAACGAATTAAACAAGAAGGAATCGAATAACAGTAAATAATAACCATATTTTATAATATGAATATACTATTAAAACAAATGAACAGTCAAAGAAAAAAAGTTATAACACAACATACAATTCACATATAATTTCTTTACTAAGGAAGTTACGAAAGTCATCTTCCATAGGCTCTACACTTATTCTGATATTTTCCCAAGTTGGATTATATAATATGACGCTATCCTAGTACAAAAGAGAGCATATTTTTTTTTATCAATTATGGTTAATTTTGGAATACTCTGCATACTCCACGCCGTGTACATTTTATTTGCTTGTACAATTTTTTCTTTACTTCCTCCATTGCTGCTGTTGATGTTTGCCCTGTAAGAAAAATTACAGTGACTTGCAGAACTTATACTAAATTTTTTCAAGTCTATTGACTTGAATATCAATAAATGGTGACCATATTACCGTCCCATATTCTAAAATGGGGAGTATTAATGTAGTAAAGAGTTTAACCAAGGTGGACGCATTACTGAAGTCTTTTGCTGCTCTAGTGATGAGTGCAAGCACTTTGTATGCTTGTAAGGCGATTTTTTCAGTGTGCTTATTGAAAGTCAACCTGTTGTCTATGATTATTCCAAGATCTTTAAGTTCAACGACTTCCTGAACTTTCTGGTCATTTATTTTGTAGTTCATGGCTTCAAGTGAGCGTGCAGCGCATTAAGTGATATTTAAATATAATTTATTGGCAGAACACCAGGTGCTTAGGGAATCCAAGTCTTGCTACAGACAGATTTTATCTTGTTCTTCTCGTATTATCCTGAAGATTTTAAGGTCATCCGCGTACAGCAAGTATTCAGATTTAAAATGTTTACCAATATCATTAACAAACATATTGAATAATAAAGGACCTAGATGTGAGATTTGAGGGACTCCAGATATCACTTCGTATTCTTTTGACAGATGACTGTCTACTTTGACTTGTAGACGTCGGTCAACTAGGTAAGAGTGGAACAATTTGAGAGCTGTGCCATTTATACCATAGTTTTGGAGTTTCATTAGTAATGTTTCATGATCAACTTTGTCGAACGCCTTACTGAAGTCTGTGTATACTGCATGAACTTTTGTGCCAGCATTCATGGACTCAAGTATGTATTGTAGTTAATATAGATAAACAAATTAGTTGTTGTGGGTTGTCCGCCAACAAATCCATGCTGACGCGTGATGATAATATCCTTGAAGGACGCTGCCAGTTGGGATAGGACCACTTTTTCAAAGAGCTTCGCTAGTGATGATTGAGTGCAGATTGGATATTAGTTTTTGACATCAGATCTATGTCCAGACGTATGACTTTTTCCAACACGTTGGGAATGTCCCTTGTGATAGCGATTTACTAAAAATATGAGGTATTGGCTCACAGAGTCCTACCGCACAACCGCGTAGAAATATATTTGGTAGTCCATCGGCGCCTGCAAATTGTTTTATTAGACGTGCCGTCTTCTACCAGTGAATCTAATTTAGAGCGAAGATTCTTGAGATGAGAAAGCTGTGATGGAGTTAAGTAGGATTTGAAGGCTATGCGTGAGTTATCTGGTACCTTTGTTTTCAATATGGTCCTAGCTTCACCCACTGATGTCGTTTCGACCAACAGTGGACGGTTGCGACCAGCATTTGGACGCCCTAGACGACGCATTTTGTAGTTCGGGATCTTGGCTGAGAGATCTGGAGGTAATATCGTTGACAGTGCAGCACGATCATCCTCCAAACGCTCCTGTCCAGTAGCTTGTTGGACTCTTCAGTGATCCCCAACAAATGACATTTAGTTAGCGAGTTTGTTTTGCTTTGAGCTCACGTATACACTTCCATTTCAGTACTCCACTTCTTATTTCATTGACTAGCTTTAAAAATTCACCTTTTGTAATATTCAGACATTTAGCGTGATTTTATTTTTCACAAATACTACATTGGATACTACAATAGATGTATTTCCTTTAATGTGCTCATTACACGTGAGAGAGTTAAGTTTGATTATACCTGTGTTGTTGCGAGGAGGCATGATGCTTACTTAATATTTCTTGCAATAAACGAGAGCTCGGGTGATGGATATACTTATTTTGAGCAATAAAATTTTCTTTTTACGCTTAACACAATTTTGCTCATAGCTGATTAAATAAACAATAATTAATTTAATTAACTTAGACAGAGTTGTTCGTTATAGGTACGTTTAGTCACCCCGCCTTCTAGCGGACGGTTTAGTACTGTGCAAATATTGTTATAGTAACTATGGACAATACTCTGGCAGATATAAACTAGTCATGTCAAGGGTATACATTTTTCAGTTAAATCTTTGATTGTTATAAAGGCGTGCACTTACCTAGCAACAAGAAGTAGTTTCGAATATAATCTTCCTCAAACGTTCCATGGATTTATTATAGCAGAGTACCTTGGTAAATCATATGTGCACGACTTTAAGCCATACAATTTTTAATACAAAGGGCGTTATCAAAGTTTTGCTTTGTTTAATTATTAATTTCCATAGTAAATATATCCTTTATAAAATTTTTACATATACATACATATGTGCATGTTAAAGAAATATTTAATTTTTCAAATAATTTGATGAATCAATGTCATGTCAATAATTAATATTTTCGTTTATTAGTTTGACTTGGTTGAGTCGAGACGGCATCGTTCAACCAAAGATTTTAGATTTTGCATCCGATTGAAGCCATTTCGCTGTATTGCCATTTTTATAATTTTGCGGTATTAAACTGCGTCCATGTTAAAAAATCAATCGATAATATTCCCACAGATCTTTGATAAAGTTTAAATCCGGCCTTTTTACTGAAAAATCCAAAAGCGGAATTTTTCTGGACTCAAAAAAACCTTTTAGTAAGTGTTACATTGTGGAAAGTCCGATTGTCTTTGTAAAGTTGAATTGCAAATTCTGCCAATTCACTATCGAGCAAGTTCCGAATATGGGTGTCCATATTAGAGTTTTTTCTTCATAATAAAAGGCATCCTACATCATTTTAGAACCTTCGCCGGGTACTCCACGGAGACATGTGCGCCGAGGATTTTGTGTTTGGTGAAAATAATTCATATGACCATCAGATCCACCGAAATTGAACTTTTTACGTCACTGAATATCAAGCTTCGCCAATCTTTCTGCCAAAATTGGTACTTATCTGCAAACGCTAAAGAAGCACTTATAAGTCTAGGCATAAGATGTGGGGTTATAATACCATAGAAAGGGGTTTTTGCTATGATTTTGATGTATAATTTGACATATTCTCATTCTTAGTACCATACCTTAAAGGGTTTTTGAGGAAATTACTAATTGTTCTAGGACAGGTTAGTACTGTGCAACTTTTTTTTACCTCCATACCATTTTCATGCAATTCTTGTCCCTGCTCAATCTCTAAAAGACTTGTTCCACTCGGCTTGTCTGACTACAGATTCAAACTATTAACAAAATTTTTATTTTTATTTTAAATTATTTATTTACTTTGAGGTGTATACTCAATTCTAGACGCGTCTCTAAAAAAGAAGAATCAACTTATATTCTTTTGCACTTATAATTACTTTTAACTAAATTCGAAGAAATAGTCACAAACGCTGCAACGAATTAAATAAGAAGGAATCGAATAACAGTAAATAATAACCATATTTTATAATATGAATCTACTATAAAAACAAGTGAACAGTCAAAGAAAAAAAGTTATAACACAACATACAATTTACATATAATTTCTTTACTAAGGAAGTTACGAAAATCATCTTCCATAGGTTCTTCACTTATTCTGATATTTTCCCAAGTTGGATTATATAATATGACGCTATCCTAGTACAAGACAAAGCATATTTTTTTTTATCAATTATGGTTAATTTTGGAATACTCTGCATACTCCACGCCGTGTACATTTTATTTGCTTGTACAGAGTTTTTTTTCAAAATCTGTCCTTTCTTTATAATAATATTAATAAAAAAAACTGTTACAATTATTTAATAATACAACAATATATTCTTAATTAACAAATATTTGCTTCCTTAAATTTAAAACAAAATAAGATAAACATTAACTTCGGCTGCACTCTTAACGGGTTCAAGTTTTCCTTACAAGAACTTGATTCTGATCGATTAGTTTGTATGGCAGCTATATATGTACATATATGATAAATTTCGTGAAAATTCTTTGTTAAAAAAAGTTTTACATACAGGGACTTGAGAGTGATCGTTCAGTTTGTATGGCAGCTATATGGTAAAGTGCTCCGATCTGAACGATTTCTTCAGAGATTGTAAATTGGCTTAGACAATAATACATGCCAAATTTCGCGAAGATAGCAGCTATATGCTATAGTAGTTCGGGGAGAAAATTTCGAGTACAAATTTTCAGATCCATATCCCAGAAACCGAGGGACTTGTTTGCATATATACAGACAAACGGACACTCATTTATATACATACATATAATATAGGATTTCCATGTTTTCTCCTGGGTGTTACAAACTTCATCGCAAACTTAATAGACCCTGTTAAGGGTATAACTAATTAAGGCTATGTTATATTAGTAAAAAGTTCGTTCGGGTTTTTATTGATTTTTCACAAGATTATAACTTTGTGTACAATTGTCCAATTTAAGTCAAGTATGTGCTGTTTTGATCGTGAATTTGTTGCTAACGAGATGCCAACTTCATTATACCCCTCTCGTAGAAGGCTGCGTCCCTATTGGCAAAAAAACTCGGAGAGCCAATTTTCACAGGCCTCTCTTGAGGCCAACTTCTCACCATTAAGCGCGTTCGCCATGGACAGGAAAAAATGGTAATCACTTGGTGCCAGGTCCGGACTATAAAGTGGGTGCATTAGGACCTCCCATCTAAGCTCCCGGAGCTTCTAGCGCGTCACCAAAGACGTGTGTGGCCTGGCGTTGTCCTGATGGAACACAAGTCGGCCTCTGTTGATCAAAGATGGCCTCTTCTGGATGAGTGCTGCCTTCAAGCGGTCCAGTTGTTGGCAGTAGAGGACCGAATTGAGCGTTTGGCCATAGGGCAGCAGCTCGTAGTAGATGATTCCTTGCCAATCCCGCCAAACACACAGCAAAACCTTTATGGCCGTCAATCCGGTCTTGGCCACGGATGGGCCGCTTGCCCGAGCTTTGACCACGACCGTTTGCACTCGATGTTGTCGTAAGTGACCCATTTTTCATCGCCAGTCACAATCCGCTTCAGAAACGGGTCGATTTTGTTGCGATTCAGCAGCGATTCGCAGATGGAAATTCGGTCCATCATGTTTTTTTGTGTTAGTTCGGTGGCACCCAAACATCGAGCTTATCTTTAGTTTCTCAGCAATTAAATAAGTGCTCACATGACGGTCTGTTTCCACTATTTCCATAATTTTATCGCAATTTTCGACGACAGGCCTCCCGACGCGTGGTGCATCTTTGACATCGAAATTACCGGAACGGAACCTAGCAAACCACTTTTGTGCTACACGTTCGTTTACAGTATCGGGCCCATAAACTAAATTAATTTTTTCAGCCGCTTTGGCTGTTTTTTGGCCTTGATCAAAGAAAAATTGTAAAATAACGCGAATTTTTTCTTTGCTGGTGTCCATTTCGACGAATGCTCACAACGTACTAAGTCAAGCAATCGAAAAACTGTCAAAAATAAACTTTTAGCGCGAATAAACACGTTTTCAGCGCCGTATAGTATGACATGACGCGACACGTAACACTAGTACTATGGACAATAACGCCATCTCTTAGATAAAAACCGAACGAACTTTTTACTTGACCTAATATATAAATAATAACAAACAGACGTCATAGGCGTTAAATTCCTGGTAACACTAATCTCTAACTAAAAACGCAAGCAGAATATCTAGTATTAGAATCTTAGAATTTTTGGAATGCATTGTAAGCATTTAGTTCAATCAATATCCAATGGACACTTGTCATTGTGCGAATGACCGACACATTCCAAAGCTGGACAGTGTTCGGAATCCCACATACCAGGACCACATCTTTTGCATAAGCCACTTAAAGTACAAGGTATTTTTGACAATTGGCGATATTGATATAACAGACCACGGGCTTTTTGTAGAATTAATTCTCCATCCATATACATAGCGAGTGAACTAAAATAAAATAACATTTCATCTGCCCGCAAATCCTGAGCCACTACATCGTCGGCATAAACGGCAATAATTGCCAGACACAAAAATAAATGAAAATAATCGGTAAGATAATTGGACCAACACGCTTCCCACATTCGGATAACTACTGATTCGGTGAACTCGCGTTTGAAACATAAAATTAGCCATCGGTGGCAAAACAGTAGCTCCATTGAACTGCTATGACATTGCAAATGTTCATAGAGCCGAGGCAGCATAATGCGGATTAGTTCCCTCAAATAGTTTAAGTTTTTGTCAATATCTGCGTCGGTAGGTGAACAGACAAACAGAGAACGTTGTAGTAACCCTACAAAGCTCCAAAACGTCTCCGATTCACTTTGTATTTCACATAATACTGGAGCTAATAATTCGCTCATTCCCTATATAATGAAATGAAAAGATTTGCTTTAAAACCCAAAGAAAAAATAAGCTTCAAGTTGAATTTACCTGCGAATAACTGTTTCCTGCATTATGAAATGCATAGTTCAACAAAATGTTCTCCATAATTTCTCTGTTTGGATTATCGTCTCCATAAAAAAATGCATTGGAGCGATCTATTCTTGCTAAATCTTTTTCTAGAACACATTGCACCGACTTCCAGAAATGAATTTGTTCTTCTGGCGACATCGAATATAAGCGCTTACGAGTTATTTCTTCATATTCTTGCTTTCTAATATCCATAAGAACAGCCCGGTCGTCAAATGTTGATGAGAACGAGTAACATTTTAATAAGAAAGGCCATATAGTTCTTCGTAAGCCTTTCTCCAAACCGCCAAAAAAAACACATTTGCGAAGAAGCAAATCATCTTCGATTTGTCCTTTTATATTAATTAAAGTTCCATAAAAGAAATTGGTAGTTATTTTTCTTACGCTGCCTTCGTCCGGATGCAATTCACGCTTCTTTATCTCTGGGCGGCATACCATGAATTGACGATACGGTAAGTTCTGTTGGTGTTGTCCATGTGTAAATGCAATGTTGTGCAGAAAACCGTGCCATTGATGAAGAACCTACAGAAAATTACTAATTACACATACAGGAAATAAGAGAGGAATTCTCTACATCTTGTAAGATTACACAACATGTAAAAAATCTCTTATAAAATATGCATAAGTTCGAGAAAATTCAATTGCAGAAATGTAGAAAACTTAATTAAGAACAAAATTGAATATTTACAAGTAAGGAAGTTCTAAGTTCGGATGTAACCGAACATTTTAAACTCTCGCAACTTGCAAGGATCAAAGCCCGGGAAATTACTTCAGGTGTTGGCAAAATTTTATATTAAAGGAAGTATTGATTCGATTCAACCAATTTTTGACACAAAAACATACTATTATCGGGAATTTCATTTATTTATTTTAGTATATGACTTTAAACGTATTATTCAAGCAAAGTTTTACCCCGATACAAACATTGTTGCTTGATTTGCATAGTGGAAAGTGAAAGAATCAGATGGAATTTAAAATGGTGTTATATGGAAAATAGTCGTGGTTGTAATCCGATTTCCATTTCCCATTTTCGCACTATAACATAGAAATATGAGAGGAATGTTATGCACCGAATTGGGTTAAGATATGGGTTTTCATATAAAAGTTTGCGGTGCCACACCTACTGTCTAATTTTGAACGCGCTTCCTATAAACTCATCTTATACCATCCCAGAGATAAAATTTAATGTCTCTGGCGTGCATAGTGCTTGTTTTATCGCGCCTTTAGTAGTTTTTAACAGTACCGCTATGTGGGGAGTGGGCGGGCTTGTCACCCGATTTCATCCATTTTCACATTGTCACTGTGATAGAAGTGCTAAAACTATTTGTTCTCAGTGAACTTTGTTATTATAGCTTTAGCGGCTTAGGAGATATGCACATTAAGCCTATTAGGGGGCGAGATCACGCTCACTTTTAAACAAAAAAATTTTAACTGCAGATTCCCCTCCCTAATGTGATCCTGTATACCATAATAGTTTTGTATCTTATGGCGGAGCTTTGTTATAGTCACTTATTTGTTTTTGATTAATGGCGTTTTGTGGGCGTGGCAGTGGTCCGATCCAACCGTCTTACGGTATCAATAAACATGTGTACCAAGTTTCATAAACATATCTTAATTTTTACTCAAGTTAGAGCTTGCACGGACGGACGGACAGACAGTCACCCGGATTTCAACTCGTCTCTTCATCCTGAGCATTTATATATTGTATATAACCCTATATCTAACTCGATTAGTTTTAGGTGATACAAACAACCGTTAGGTGAACAAAACTATTATACTCTGTAGCAATATGTTGCGAGAGTATAAAAATGTTTAATAAACAATAAAACAAAATAATATAACAAAACTTAACTCGTTTTTCTTAGTCACGTAGTTCGGAAAAACAAAAAATCGTTAATTTTATGTTTAAAGAACATGATTCAATTATATAAGGTTGTATTGATAGCTTAAAAAACAATTTATAAGAAATGTTTTCAGCTGTTTACAAAGAGTTTATAAAAATCTCCAAATTGTCAAAATGCAAACAAGAGTTGAGAAAGACATAAAAAAACGTTTGCATTATGAATTAAAAAATATTTTCGTAAGTACGCTCTTAAGTAACACAACCTTATATAATTGAATCATGATTGAAAAAGCAGCTTCAACATACTTTCTTCAGTCTTTAATACATAAAGCTTTAATAACTAATAAAAATATAGGAAATTGTACAAAACGTGTACCCCTATTCCAGTTTTCAACTCAACTCGGTTGAATTCAAGTTAAAGCAATAAAATCAAATCAACTTTTTTTTGGTATTACGATTTTCAAATATTTTCATTCGCAGTTTGATTGATGTTGCCTGCCTAAAAAATGAAGATTCGACAGCTAATTTAACAGCAAAAATTTTTTAAACGAAAAATCAAAACAATTTAGTTTAGTTATTGCTCATGAAAAGCTGAATAATTTTTAAAAATGAAAATAAGTTTTGATTTATATAATATTACGATGACAAAAATGTTGGAGCAAAAACTGACGTGATGTGCATAAGAAAAAGCTTTCGTGATCATTCAAATCCATTCAAACTTCCTTACATCAAGGAAGCCAAAGTTTTATGGTTGTTACATAAACTGCTTTTAAATATTATGAACACCATATTTGTGCGATGGGGATAAAACACCAATGACTGAGGAGCAGCAAAACGCTTCAAAACTTTAATTTTACTCAAAAAGTTTACTCCTAGAAATAGTAGATTGTATCGACTCTTTATGTTTGAAACACGGTCCCTTAATTTTATTTTAATATTTCCAGATTGTAGCTTGTCTCGTCCAGTTTCGGGATTTTACTCCACGAACTCAACAAATTTTTCACCTTTCTATGGATTTGTACATAATAACTGATTAAAATTATTTATAAATTTTTCTATTAATATTTTTCCTAAATATATTTATAAATGTTTAACTAAATCTGCTTAAAATTTTTTGATACTCTAGTCAACCCCACAGGCGCAGAGTTAAAAACCGTGATACCAAATAAGATGACCACTTCAACCGAAATTTTGGACGGGTTGAATTTCAAAACTTCAACCAATATGCAGTTAGGTTAAATGTCAACAAAATATACAAATGTAATATGATAGTTGGAACAGGGCTGCACTAATTTTGCTTTACTTCACTGACTTATCAAAATTAACTAGGGTTTTGCTATAGCTATTGCACAAATTTTTTTTTGTGTTTGTTGTTGTGTCATTACAATGTGTGCACTGCGCAAGGGTTTTACAAGATTTATAGCGTCTTTATTCTGCCCTCTGCCCGGGTTGTCAAAGTTGAGCGTTCTTTTCTCAGAATGTGGTACTCTAACCTGAGAAGAGTGCAACCTTTTCTGCCGTTCTCAAAACGTAAGAGTGAGAGTTGCCCAGGCTATGTTTATTTTTTGTTTTTGATGGTTATTTTTTTTTAAATAAAGTTTTTCTACTAATTATAATGAGTCGATCAGTTTTCTTACGCTCAATAATAGATATTGCAAATGAGTTGATTGGTATTATTTTGCTCTTTTGTCATGTGAAAAATGAAAGATTTATATAATAATGGCATTTAACGAGGCAACATTTTCATTGAGAAAATAAAACGCTTTAGAGAATTCCCCTACATGCTCATAATTGGCCGAGTGAATGAATGTGAAAGCATTTGTCTTCTAATAAATATAAATGCTCATTTAAGTACAAAAAAAATATAAATATGCATAATGAGTAAGGAAGGGCTGAGTTCGGATGTAACCGAACATTTTATACTCTCGCAAAGTCAAATGGTATACTCATTTGAGATTTCTTTGTGGATTGACTGATATTTTCGGTAGTAGGTCAACATAGGCACTGGAGTCCACATATTTAGTACTTAGGGGCTTGAACAGTTTTGGTTCGATTTAGACAATTTTTGGTCACAAGGTGGCCTACCTTAAACGTATTATTCACGCAAAGTTTTACCCAGATATAATCATTGTTGTTTGATATGCATAGTGGAAAGTGAAAGAATCAGATGGAATTGAAAATGGTGTTATATGGGAAATAGGCGTGGTTGTAGTCCGATTTCGTCCATTTTCGCACTATAACATAGAAATATGAAAAGAACGTTATGCATTTGGTTGAAATCGGTTAAGCAGATCCCAAGATATGGGTTTTCACCTAAAAGTGGACGGTGCCACGCCCACTGACTAATTTACCAAGAAACATGTGTACCAAGTTTCATGAAGATATCTCAATTTTTACTCAAGTTAGAGCTTGCACGGACGGACGGACGGACAGACAGTCACCCGGATTTCAACTCGTCTCTTCATCCTGATCATTTATATATATATATAACCCTATATCTAACTCGATGAGTTTTAGGTGATACAAACAACCGTTAGGTGAACAAAACTATTATGCTCTGTAGCAACAAGTTGCGAGAGTATAACAATAATGAAGTATGTTTTTTGTTTTGCAGTGTGAGAAACACCAAAGATACTCCAGCCTAATGTTACGTAGAATTTAGAATTATCCACGTTTACTTATGTTTGAAAAAAAAAATTTATACATAAATTTGATAAATTTATTTAGCCAGTAATGACGCCCACGCTAGTCTTTCAGATATATTTTCCTCCAGTTACTGTAACCATCAGCGGATAATACCAAAAGAATTACCTTATTACATAAGGTAACGGGCGTATAGTGCAAGATAATACTACCAATTTTAGTATAATGAAAGCGCAATATTTTCTAATTTTACATTTTTAGAACACTTTTAAACGTAATAGGTAGCATTGATTCAATATGCACAATAATAAGAAAAAGCAGAAAGAAACGGAGTTCATTGAAAACTTAAACCGTGATTAATATGTCCATTTTAAAGAATCTAACAAATTATTACAATTTTCAATCTTAATGAATTCATATTAAGATATCAATAGAAACACACAAGACAGGCGTCTGCGATTCGTCATTTCTCTGCGCCAACTAGTAACCCAATTGATCAGAGATCGATGCCATATATTATGCAACCTCTCGTATTCGGCTCCTTAGTTCGCAATAGTTGAGGACTATGAACTCTCTGCGTATCTGGGATGTCTTCAAAAGTAAATAGTATGGATGGATATAAATTGGCGTTCTTTCCGGTTACGTAGGCCTGTTTATTGTTGTTGTGGTTATCTCGGCTCAGTTTAAATGGCAAGGCCGAAGTTAGTTCTCATCAAAATCATTTGACTGAAAGCACAGGAAACGTGCTGTTTCGACGGGGTCTGACCACAAGGAGAGAGATGTTAGATGAGTGGGATTCATTGGCATGGAAAGTGGTGGTTAGAGTCATGCGGGTGCTAATTGCACGCAGAACATATAGTTGGTATATCGGGATAAGTATGAGTTCAGCTTGCTACAATATCCAGAAAGAGGTTGCGTAATGCTCACTCTAAATTCTCGGGGCTACTCGAACTCTTCATCTGCTATGGTTGGTGGTTTGACTCCAAGTACGCCAATCACTAGGGTGGAGTTAGTAAAGAAGTTGATAGCTATACTG